CCAATTTAAAAAATGGGCAGTGGACCTGAATAGACATTTTGCCAAAGAAGACACACGGATGGTCACCAGATGCATGAAAAGATGCTCAACATCTCTAACAATTTGCAGAGAAATGCAAATCAAAACCACAATGAGATACCATCTTGCACCTGTCAGAATGACTAAAATAAAAAATACAAGATATAAGCATTGGCAAGAATGCGGAGAGAAAGGAACTCTCGTGCACTGTTCGTAGGAATGCAAATCAGTGGAGCCATGGTGGAAAACAGTATGGAGTATTTCCACTATTGGATATTTACCCAAAGAAAACAAAAACACTAATTCAATATATGCATCCTTATGTTTATTACAGCATTATTTACAATAGCCAAGATATGGAAGCAATGTAGATGTCCAACAATAGATGAATGGATTATGAAGATGTTTAAGCAGTCATTAAAAGAATGACACCGTGCCATTTGAGACAACACAGAGAGTACCTGGAGGGTATGATGCTAAGTGCAACAAGTCAAACCAAGAAAGACGAATACCACCAGATTTCACTCAAAAGTGGAATCTTAAAAAACAACAACAACAACAACAATAAACGAATAAAAGTAGAATCAGACCTATAAATACAGAGATGGTTGCCAGAGGGAAGGGGGTGGGGGAAGAATGAGCAAAATGGGTGAAGGGGAGTGGGAGATACAGGCTTCCAGTTACTAAATGAGTAAGTCATGGAAATAAAAGGCACAGCATAAGGAATACAGTCAATGATATTGTAATAGCAATGTAATGCGGACATAGCATAATGTGTTAACTTGTCAAATCAGTATGTCATTTACCTGAAACTAATGTAACATTGTGTGTCAACAAACTCACATTTTTTTTTAATCTTTATTTTTGAGAGAGAGACAGAGTGCAAGCAGGGGAGGAACGGGGTGGGGGTGGGGGGGACACAGAATCCAAAGCGGGCTCCAGGCTCCAAGCCGTCAGCACAGAGCCCAATGTGGGGCTTGAACCCACAGACCGTGAGATCATGACCTGAGCCAAAGTCGGACGCTCAACCAACTGAGCCACCCAGGCACCCCCCAAATTTTTTAAAAAAGGAATTGTGATAACTCATTGTTCACTAGGGTGTCTTTTTTCATATAATAATATATCATGGATCTCTTTCCAAGTCAATATATGTAGGTCCTCATGATACAATTTTTAGCTGTTAGCAAGTATTCCATAGTGTGAATTTTTCCATATCTACTTCATCACTTCCCGCTGGTGGACATTTAGCTTGTTAGTGATCCACCTCAAAGAAATGCAGAAACTATTTTTACTGACCATATAAGCAAGTACAAAATGATGGCTAACACCCAGTTTGGACATGCCTGGGTGTGGTGGGAGCTCTCATGCACTGTTGGTGGCACTGTAAACTGGTATATCATTTTTAAGGGTAACTATGGCAATAGCTTTCTAATTTTTTTCCAAATCCAATCAGCTATGTTAGTGTTCCCCTCTTTTGGTATTATGTTTTTTTAATTTTAATTCCAGTATAGTCAACATGCAGCATTATATTAGCCTCAGGTGTAGTGACTCGACCATTCTGTACATTACTCAGTGCTCATCAAGATAAGCGTACTCTTAATTCCCTTTACCTATTTCACCCATCCCCCCACTCACCTCCCCTCTGGCAACCATCTGTTTGTTCTCCATAGTTAAGGGTCTGTTGTTTGGTATCTTTTTTTCTTTGTTCCTTTGATTTCTTATATTCCACATATGAGTGAAATCATACGGTACTTGTCTTTCCCTGACTAACTTATTTCGCTTACCATTATACCCTCTAGATCTAGCCGTGTTGTTGCAAATGGCAAGATTTCATTCTTTTTATGGCTGAGTAATATTTCAGTGTGTGTATGTGTGTGTGTATGCACAAATATATATATAATGTACATATGTGGGGTATATATATGTATATATTTGTATATAGTATATGTATATATGCAAGTAAATACACACACACACACACACACACACACAACCCACATCTTCTTTATCCATTCCTCTACTGATGGACACTTGGGTTGCTTCCATAATTTGGCTATCGTAACTAATGCTGCAATAAACATAGGGGTGCGATATCAATATCTTTCCAATTTTTTTATGTTTATATATCTTTAAGAGAGAGAGTGTGTGAGAGCAGGGGAGGGGCAGAGAGAGGGAGACAGAGGATCTGAAGCAGGCTCTGTGCTGACAGCAGAGAGCCCGATATGGGGCTTGAACTCACGAACTGTGAGATCATGACCTGAGCCGAAGTGCGGCGCTTAACCTACTGAGCCACCCAGGTGCCCCGATACCTTTCTAACTGTTAAGGGCCGTTATCCTTTGTCTTGGCAATGCCACTGCTAAGACTTTACCCTTGCAGGTATACCTGTACAGGTACATAAACATACGTATGTTCAAGGATATAGTAGAGCCCTTGTTAGTAGAGCCCTCCTGAAACTTCACCTTGAAGCTAGTCTCTGCAGGGAGTTTGACTCAAGTGCTATCCGATTAACCAAAAATATTTGAAAGGCATTTTAAATCTTTACCACAGTCTCTCCAAAACAACAAAGGGACATTCTATTCCTGATGACACAATAGTCCCAGAAGTGAGAAGTCTCAGTGGCAGGGAGGAGGCAGGCTGTGAGACCAAAACTGGAAAGGCAGCTCTTACAGAAGTTCTCACGCTGTGCGTAAGGGAACAATGAAGGAAAACCAATCACCCTTAAGAAAAGCCAGACATTTTATCCCTTCTGAATTCTCAAAGATAAGCAAGGTCATGGGCTTGCTGAAAAACTAGATGGGGAAAAGTGAGCGAGCAAGAGAGAGAGAGAGGATCCTGCCCCTGATCCAGAATAAAGTATCACCGTTTGTCATATCCCCTGCAAGGATTTTTGCTTCCAAACTCTCTTGCCCACCATCTATGCCCCCTTGTTTCCTTACAAACAGGACTCGCCCTCTTCCTGCCATATCTTCGGGGTGATTTTGACTTTCCTTGACTTTGAGGTGCCTCTGTTAACACTCCTACATGAAGATTGAGGAGGAAGTCATAGTAATTATATAATTCGATTAGGTCTACATAAGGGGGGGGGGGTGGCGCATAGCTGGTCATCGAATGATTTTCACCCAGACTATCACCTTGTTTGTTGTTGTGTCACACTAGGTAAGTCATCCGGAGCCTAAGATCTACATCCCCTCCTGCCCTTCCTCTCACCCACTTTTCCTACTGATTGCCAAGCTTTAAGCATCACCTAAACCTCTTGGTCTCCTCAAGAGAGAGCTGATCATTTGTAGTGTATGCCTGGACGTGATCTCTTGATGTTCTCTTTAGATCTGGGGATCCAGTTACCCATGCCAAAATCAGGGACAGGTAAAAGGAAGGAGTCTGGCTACTGTAGCTCACTCCTAATTTATTCTCTGTGCGTCTTATAAATAGCATTCCCAACAGCACTCACGCACACACACACACACACACACACACACACACACACACGTATCTGCTTTATAACTAATATTTTCTGGGTACGCATGTTATCAATCAGGCTCTCGAGATAATACATTCTGCATAGCTCATTTTTCTGTGGTACAATAATATCTTGCCTCTGTTTTAAGGAAATAATTATGTAATGTATGTTTGGATGGGCGCAGATGTTGGTTGCTTTTTGTATTCATGGCAAGTATACAGTAGATACTAGTTATCTACTGTACAAAGATTCTAATACGTTTGTAAACCTAGGCCTTGAAAATCAGGAGATTCTCTTGAGTTGGCTAACCAGTTGGTGAATCAAAAAGAATGGGCTCCCACCTTCCTTAAAGGTGAAGATTTACATTATCAAGAAATCATTGGTGGGCGCCTGGGTGGCTCAGTGGATTAAGCATCCGACTCCTCATTTCAGCTCAGGTCATGATCTCACGGTTCCTTAGTTTGAGCCCTGCATGGGGCTCTGTGCTGACAGTGTGGAGCCTGCTTGGGATCCTGTCTTTCCCTCTCTCTCTCTCTCTGCTTCTCCTCCATTCTCGCTCTCTCTCTCTCTCTCTCAAAACAAATAAATGAACTTAAATAAAATAAATCATTGCGGCACCTGGGTGGCTCAGTCAGTTAAGCATCCAACTTGGGCTCAGGTCGTGATCTCGCGGTTCGTGGGTTCGAGCCCCGTGTCGGGCTCTGTGCTGACAGCTCGGAGCCTGGAGCCTGCTTCGGATTCTGTGTGTCCCTCCCTCTCTGCCCCTCCCCAACTTGTATGCTCGTTCTTTCCCTACAAAGAAACTCATCCTGCCACCCTCTCATCCACTCCATCGGGTACCCTGAGGTGGCCTGGGATTCAGTTCTCTTACCTGTAGGTAACCTGGTTGCCCTCCGGAAAACTCGGGACCTGCGTGGTTTACTTAACAGGGACTCCTGCGTCACAGTTTGTTGACTAGATAACGAGTCCTTCAGGCTGGAAACCTGAGTGCTAGACCTGGAGAGAACTTCCACAAGGCTGTTTTCTTCCCTGTCCTCTTCTTTCTCCTTCTTCTTTTGTTTGGCCTTGTCCAGGGAGTACTGCCACTTTACATTCTCAAACTGGAACATGAGAATATTGCTCTCCGTGTTGATCACCATCCTGGAACCAAAGCAACAAGATCGCCCACAAAAGGAGCGTGAAGGCCACCACCGCCCGGGGCCTCCAAATAAGGCATTTCAATCACGGTCGTGTCCAATGCCGAGGCCAAGGGAACAGCGCCCGGGGGGAGAGACTGTACAAGCAGGATGGTGTCGGCTACTGGAGGATCTGGAGTGATGAAAGGTAGCCGGCGGGGCGGTGAGGGTCGTTTCCTTTAAAATTAAGTGTAAGCGCGGCCATATGTTCTGATTACTTCACTTTCCAAGTTAAAACATTTTTTTAAGTTTATCTATTTTGAAAGAGGGAGAGAGAGGGGCGCCTGGGTGGCGCAGTCGGTTAAGCGTC